TGCTTTATGAGAGAATCCTGGGATTCTATTTTTCAGAATTCCCCCATCCTTTCACAATTTTGAAGTATTTACATTAAAATGATGTTTTCAAAATTTTGCCTAGGGTGGTCTAGTTGGCAAGGACTTGGGGTCTTTTGGTAATATCAACCTAGAGGTTTAAGTTCGAACTTTCGAGCGAGTTTAATTCCAAAAATCCTTGATGTCTCTCAGGTCTGGGCCTTGCGTGGGCGTCGGGTATGAGAGAGCAAAGCTCGACTCTCGGTTATCAACAAAAAAAAAGCCTAAATAGATTTTTCTTTTACAATCATTTCCGAAAAAGTTTGCTGAGTGAGTTTGGTGTCTTCATGATAGGGATGACTTGGTGGTAAGTGATATAACAAGCAATATTGTCAAAACTAAATATTATCCCTTATTTTTTAAATATCACTAAGTAGTATTTGAAGCATTGTGAAAACAACATGACATGGCTTTTGGAATTCATAATTGGTCTCCTGCGCATAATTAGTTGCAAATAATATGTTCATCCTCCTTTGGTCTTGAGATTTAAACATCTGCTATCTTAAGTTATTTTGGCTTTGGAATGATTTGATTGCATATTTCAGGTCAGAGTTTAACCGGTTTGGCTGGAAGCCCAGCTTATGTAGCCCCCGAAGTGTTGTCTGGAAAGTACTCTGAAAAGGTGGATATTTGGAGTGCTGGTGTGCTCCTCCATGTTCTTTTGGTTGGTGTTCTTCCTTTCCAAGGAGATTCATTAGAATCAGTTTTTGAAGCAATAAAGAATGCCAAGCTCAACTTCCACTCAGGGATGTGGGAATCCATATCCAAGCCCGCCCGTGATCTGATTGGGAGAATGCTGACGAGAGATATTTCAGCTAGGGTAACAGCAGAAGAAGTTTTAAGTAAGTTCATTTTGCTACTTAATTTTTTCATGCCCTGATGGATCAAGGAATGCAAAATCAGTTTATATGCCTACCAACATTTTGAATTTACATTTGAAATAAGTATAACCATGTTAATGAACTTTGCAATTTGAAGATCCTATGTCACTACTTGGTTAGAAATTTAGAATATAGATTGGTGCCAATCCTCATTTTTTAGTGTAATCTAATTTGCGTGCTAATGGTGATATTTCAGGGCATCCCTGGATATTGTTTTACACCGAGCGCACGTTCAAGACGCTCCCCATCAAACTGAAACTGAAGAATCAAGAATCTTGCCAACAGTCCCCCATTACCGCCAAAATAAAGTCCGACAGAAACAGGATTGATAATGCAGCTAATGCTACCTCCTTCAATAAAGTCTCTAATGTTTCCTCATCTGAAAGTTGCAATGCCGATGATGTGGACGACTGCTTTCTGGTGGATGCACTTGCAACGGCTATTTCTCACGTGAGGATTTCCGAGCCAAAGAGAAGTAGGCTGTGCGTTCCTACGGGCCCTATCGAGCAGCACAGCTCCTCTAACATGAAAGCTAACAATCTCTGTAAAGCATTTTGATCCTGCTGACAGGCCAACAACGTCGACGGTATTGTTCTCTCCTGTTTTTCTTTTTTTCCTGAGCTGGGGAACGAACTACTACTACTTACAGGTAACACAACCCGGATGACAATTCCTCCCAAGTAGCTAAGATTTTAAAGCTAACGTCAATCAATCAATCCACAGGATGAATCTTATTAATATGCAGTAGCAGTATGTGTTAGTCCATGCCTGAGGTGCATTAAATCTGATTAGTTGGTGTGTGTTCTTTGTGCTTTTAAGTCTAATAATTGTCTTAACATGAACTGACAAATTTGATATGTACATATTATGTAAATACAGTAATGAAGAGAGTGCATTTTGATGTTCTGTTCTGTTGTCGGCCAACGGCCCAAAATTCGCTGACAGGTTACATACAGCAAACCCAAAGCTGTTGATTCTGGCCACCAACAATTTACAGTGCATCTACCAAAATGAATGGTAACGATTTTAAGTTTCTCTGATGATAATTAGATAATTTGTTTCTTTTTGGAGACTAGATTGTAGAATTAGAAAATGATTTTATAAGTAGATTTCAGAGGAAATAAATTTGTTAGTAAAATAGATATGATTTTTAGAAATCAAGATTAAAATTGTTCTGATAACTTGAATTCTAGGCTACCCACTATATAGATGGAGAGTTAAAGTTTTATTTCCACCAGAAACAAACTTCCTGAGATTTTCAGATGAATAACTGAACTGCATTGGAGTTTCATATGGTACTAGAATGGGGCGAGAGTAGATCGTAATTGGGTCAGACTCGGAAAAAGAAGAAGATTGACTTCGATATCGATTGTCTATTAATTATATTATGGGCAAGGGAAGAGGGAACAGAGAGGGGGTGGCAAGTGAGAGGGGAGGAGTAGAGATACAAGGGATTAGGAGGGGCAGATTTGACCATGGTTAATATTTGTGGATTACATGACTCCTGTGGTAGGCTGAATTTTCTTATGCATATTATTCAATAGGCACGAGGATAATTCAACTAGTCAATATATTTTTTTTAAAAAAGGATCGAAACAGCATAATCTCAAATTTGACATCATCCATATTAATCCATGTATTTTAACTACAAAGAAAAATTCAATGACCATTCAAGTTGAAATTTAAACCGTACATAAATTGTAATTTTCTTCTAACATAATTTATCTCAACTATTAGAAGACAAAATGCTTATTTGTGATATTATTCAATATTATCGAATTTATTGTCATTCATATTCATAATCCTCGAAATAATATCACAAATAAGCATCTTGTCTTCTAATAGTTGAGATAAATTATGTTAGAAGAAACCATTTGACAGTTTTTCTTTGTCGTAAAAGTCACGATAGAAACCTTCGGCAAAAGTGGGTTAACCAAAATGCTATAGCGATGATGCACAATACATATTTTTACAACGAATAAAATATACTAAAAAAGTTCCTACAAATTAGGGAGGAAAAAGGAACAATAAAAAATTAAAAAAAGGGCCTATTTTCACCGTCCCATATTTCTAACCCGAGGGGAGACTGATAATATCAGACATCATTGCTGTTTCTTTTCCCTCTTCGCCGGCCAGCAACTTTGGTATTCCATTCATAAAGAAACCAACAAGAACTCCGACTTGAGGTAAGTGTTCATTTTCTGGACATTTTCGACCACATATATACCATAAAGAAACAGATCAATGTAAACACGACGACCTGGACGACGTGATTCGATCCATTCTGTATGATTTTCTTGTTCAATCTTCTTACATTGTTCTTCACCCCTGCTTGAGCTTTGATCATCGTCATTTGCTACAAAACAAGTACAGAAAACATAAGTTAGAAACAATGTTCTTCACCCCTGCTTGAGCTCTCAATCTGTTAGATTGCACACAATTTGAAACAATGCAAACCCAGGACTAATTTTCTTCACCTTTTTTTTCTTTTAGTTGATAGTAGCTCTCAACATTTTAGAATGAGATTATTAAGCAAACGTTTGTTTTATTTTTGTTCCTATTTTCTTTCATTTTATCTTTCGACGAAGGGCAGGACTTGAAACTAGACAATCAATAAAAACCAAAAATACCAAAAACAAGTGGTAGCATGAGTTTATAAATAAAATAACAAATAAAAAGTAAAATTGCATACCAACTGATTTAGAAAATCACTCTGATACTTTGCTTCTGTCCCGATGTCTTGAGCAATCTGCACCAGGATAATTACCAAGTACCAAATATAAAAAGATCAAAAAATGGATCTCGAATTAAGAAAACGAACTGGAATATATAACCTGTAAATCATCTAAATTAGATTAAAATCAACTATGAAGAGTCAAAATAAGTCATAGGTCACAGAGTGGCAGATTCCACCATGCTAAATGAAGATCCTACAAGTTTGCACTTTGAACAGAAAAAATGCTGACCTGTTATCAGAAAAAAATCACTTAGACTAACGCGATAGGTGATTTAAGTGGCCCTTAACTGGGCATTTGACTTCGGAACCAGGAAACTAAACACAGACTTCCTTTTTTCCTCAATAAGAAACAAGATGAGCTTTCGTTGATAATATGAAACAAAAGGTGCCGCTCAACATTGGTGGGCATACATTTAGGCATACTCCAGCTCAGACCAAACTCATTAAAATGCTTAGCCCAACATTTAGAAGCAAACCGGCAAGTAAAAGAAACAATGCCCCTCATTTTCCAGATTTTGATGTTATAGAACACACCGGCAAATGACATCAGCAATCCCTTTCTTCAAGTAACCAACTTTCATGGAGGGAAAAAGTGAAAATATACTCAAAGGACGATACAAAGAAAAGAAAAGCCTTGGACAAAAATCCCCCCTTTTCAACACGAATCCATATTCACTTCATACCACTAGTCTGACATACAACTATTGAGCTAACAAGTGTCCGATGCGCGTCCAATAAGTATCAGAGTCTCGGAGTGTTCAACATGGACATGTTATCCAAAATAAAGTGTCCGTGCCTCTTAGTTCAACACTATATGCTGTGCCAAGATTATTCAAAACAAGTGACCAGGCAAAAACTTTATTCTTAGGATGATTTATTTTTCGGATGGCCTTAGTCAAGCTCCTAGGTAAGGGGGCTCTAGAAATGAGGAGGTCAAAGAAGGACATAATAGTATATTAACCCCAGGGATGAGGCTCAGAATATATTTTCTCAAGGATCTTTTGAGCTATCTACCAAAGTACATTTGGTGTCTCAATTATCAAGCCCTATGACATCTCAATCTTAACTTAATTTTTCCTACTCGCATCAATCACTTCATAGCCAGTGAGAAATAGTTGTGACTCAATTACATTCACAGCCTCTAAACACAAAAAAGTAATTTCTCTATTTATTAAGAAAATAAACCAGGCCCTAGACTATGTTATGTAAGATACTGTGGAAAAGTGCAACTTGCAAGGATTGAATTTTCACACAGCTAAGAAAAGATCAGTGTGGGCTTTAAACAAGTTGATTAAAATTTATACTTTTCCCACATTTGTAAATAATGACTTATTACAAGGATATGGTGATTGGGACTAATGGTCCAAAACATTATATTAAATATTAATGACAAATGAAACTCACTGAGAGAGAACAAGATTACAAGAAAGTAGGCCATAGTATACTACACACACGTATTTCTGGATGACTGGGAGTTGGAGCTTTGTTCCCTTATACCCAGGGGCACCCGCACCCACCCCAAGGCCCGGACTCAGAGACATTAAGGGTTTTTGATATTAAGCTCACCAAAAGGTTTGAACTTGAGATCTCTAAGCTAGTATGACCAAGAAACCCCAAGCCTTTACCAATTGGGCTATCCCTTGGGGGCTACTACACACACGTATTGAAGTAAGCTATTTAGGATCGAGCATCCAATTCTGTAAAATATGAAAAAGAGAAATATCCTAAAGAGGATACAAAAGGAAAATGTAGGTCACACGTGATAGTTCTTGTCCAAACTAACTTCAATTAACATATAAATAATTGAGGACATCATAGCAGCATGTTGGACCGGAGCTTTGATCAATTGAAGCACAAAATTTTCTTAACACCGTGTTTCAGTGCCAAGGCACTAGCCACGAAGTGCCTAAGCATTATGGTCTAACCCAACATGCATTCAAGACAATTTTCAGGGTATCATTCACACATCTCCTGGTTCCTATAAGAAGGTCCCGTGCTAGACAAACATCCTCATCAAATAGGGAGAAGGAGAGGAAGTTAAAAGAAGGAAGGGTGAATTTGGTAATCTGAAAGATGGACAGAATAAGCTGTTCAGTCTCTACACAAGTTGCTCCTCCCAAATAGGAAGGACACAGGATTAGCCTCCCGAACAAATATTACAAAACTTTAACTGTTGTAAAAAAGAGAATCATTCATAGACAATCTTGAAAATCCATACCCAGTAGGATTATTCCAAAGAGTATAATTTATATAGATATATTTGATATCGTTACACTTTCTTTCATGGCCATGAAACGTTTTGAATGATTGTCTTTTATGAAACGTTTTGAATGATGATGAGACAGAGACTAGAATTGCAGTAAAAAAGACTCGTAAATATGGATTCTGCTGGTCCCTTCTGCATCTCTTATAAATTTCCTTTCTTATTTAATAATAAGTGGTTGCATTTCTTATTCAAAAAGAAAGCGGAAAAGACCCACGAAAATCCACAGAAAGAAAATCACGCCTGTAGACACCATTATAATGAAAACCAAAGATAAGCACGCAGAATACAGCTATACCACGTGAAATGTATCAATCCACGTCGTACAGCTTATAAACTCAATTAAGAAAGGAACCACGTGCAATGCAAGTTCCAAGAGTATCATTACAGACAGATCAACCTCGAACATAGATGGCTTCAATATACTAGGAACACCAAATAAATCAGAGTGCTCTCGATAAAAGTTTAACTGCGTGTTCCAGTTTGAAATTCAATAACCTGAGTGCAAAGCTGTACGTAAGATTAATGTAAAACCATGGTACTTACAGTTCTAAGCCTCTTAACTTGGCTATGGAGACCGACGATCTCGTCGTCCAAGTCCCCTTGCATCGGATCGATCTGTAGTTGAATTTCATCGGAAGCAGCGGCCGGTCTGGTGCTAAGCCCCTCCCTGAATACCTCATAAATAAGAGACGAATGCACTTGAGCGACATGAACGAGTAATTATCATTCTCAACGTCGATTTCTTTTATATATAAAAGGAAATTCTTAACGTCGTGTTGGTCCGATAATAATTCAACGAGACGAATGATGCAAACTCGTGTGATTTTTGTAGAACCTCTAATTCCTGGAAATTTAATGGGAATTTCGCACAATAAAAGTACTAGTAAAATACCTGGAGCGATAAGGAGCGGCGTTGGCGTTGTAGAATGAACTACCGCCGCGAGACGAATTTGCCGCCATTAAAGAAGAATGAAAACCTGATCCRGAGAGAAGGAATCAGATCGGAAACAGACGAATCGCGAGAGTTGGTTTCAGTATCTTCGATCAAGTCGGAAGGTGAGCTCGAAGCAAATTGGGCTTTCTCTCCGATTCCAGTTTTTCAGAGACGCGTTGGCGTCGATTAATTTGTTTTCAAAATCTAACACGTATTTGGTTGCAATGGATGACCATTTGTTCGATTTTTCTTTATCAGAAAACCGAACCAAACTGGAAAGTTCCAGGTTTGACCGATCGGTTCTTCTTTGTTTGTATTTAAATTTGTTCTATGAGATTTGAATGAATATATATATCATTTATTATTTTAATAAATTACTTAATTGAAACTTTACCCGCACATTTATTATTATTTTGTTTATTTAACTTAATATAAAATTATGTGGTCGCTGTACTGGATTGTTTTTAATAACTACTTAAATGAAACTTGAAACCGTATTGATTGTTTCTAATAACTACTGAATGGATTTGAAAGTGGCATGTGGTGGGTCAAGTGAAATTTTTTCTAACTGAATTTAGATTATTGTTAAATAATTAATAAAAATTATTCGAAACTAAATTAATTTTATGTGCTTAATTTAAAAATTAAAATAAAATATTTAAAAACTGAAAGTGTGTGACGTTTTCTTTTTGGAACAATTTGGAGAACATGCTTTGAAAAATTCGAGCGGTACTATCACATTAGCTGCCTCCAAATATATTATGACACATAAAATCGTATTTCTAGTGTCAACAGATATCTCGTTAGATAAACTCTGCCCGATGAAAGCATACGAGCTAGACTGCTCATCTTTCGGACACTCATGCTTTTGTTTTTTTTTTTACTTCTTGAGTTTGGATTGGGTTCACTATTCTCACTGTGCTTGGAGATTTGTACATGCATTTTGTTGAATTTGAACCTCTAAGATCTATCAACAATTAAATTAAAAAAAATTAACATCAACATAATTTAGTGATTAAGATATATGCTATCCTTTATAATCAATCCTCGAATTTCCACATAGTATAAAATAGAGAGGAATAAAAAAAGAAATTAAAATTATTCTTATTTTAAGGTTTGTTTCATAACGTTTTCAATTTTATCGTCAAAACCTAAATATTTTATAACTAACATGTTTTTTCTTATAAACATTTTTAAAATTGTATAAAAAAAATGTAAAAATGAATTTATCGCTATAGAATTTTATTTTTATTTATTAAAAATGAAAAACTAAATTAAAATAGCGATAAATTCACTGTCCCGAGTTATAGAATTCAGGCGCGAAAGCACGGACGGCGGCCCGCGCGATCAACGATTGGCATCACTTCAGTCCCCTATCGGCAAGCGATGCGAAGCCTGCGAAAGCCCCGACAGAAATGCGGTCGCTACTGCGCAAAACCCAAGCGATGACTCGTTCGTTTCTCGCCCACTCGTTCTCTCTCAAACCGAATTCATCATCTATAATTTCTCATTCTTCTCGCCCTCTCCAAATTCCATTCTCCAAACTCTCCCAAGTTTGCTCTCTCTCCCTCTCTATAATTGTTGTCTGAATTGACTGTGCTGTCTATGTTGTGTCGCCTTTTTCTCTAACGAATTTCGTAGTAACTCTTGTTGTTAGGGTGTTTCTCGGCCATATTCGAGCTCTGCGTTTCGTTGGTTTTGCTCCAAGTCTCGCATTGAAGCAGCAAGCATGCAGAATTGGGAGTCCATTTCGTATCTTACGCAGCGGGAAGCAGCTGAGGTCGATGAGATTCTCATGGGTCCTCTCGGGTTCAGCGTCGACCAATTGATGGTTAGTGTTGTTACTGTTTGCTTCCTTTTTCTAGACGTTCTTTTACTGGGTTTCATTTTTTTTATTCCGGTTCTATAATGAGTTTCATAATTGGTCTCTTTCAACACTTAATCGTACTGAAATGGACATGTTGAAATTTTTGTGTACAGGAGTTGGCTGGATTAAGTGTAGCCACTTCAATAGCTGAGGCAAGCTTCGTCTTGGCATTTACTTTCGGTAGAAATGGTTGAAACTTAGTTGTCGGTGAAAGTGAATTGTATTTTTGGTAACGGTTTGATTTTTGTTTATCAATGATTATTAGCTCATTGGGACATGTTTGTGATCTGCACTGCAGCATTTAGGTCCCTCTCCATCTCTTTGGTTACAGCTGGATGTATGCATGTTAACGTACACTTACCAGTTACCATTGTTTTTTATGCGACTACTGTATGAATTATTTTATTCTGTTCTGCATTTTTCATTGCACTATATTTAAACCCTTAACGGGCGTCTCTCTTACAAGTTCTAAGTTGCCCCGGACGAATCTGTTTAGCTCAACCRAGTAGGATGAAGGAGGTTAAATAAAGTTACCAAAGACTAAAGAACTTTTGTTTTTCTCCCGAGTACTTGACAGGCTTACAAAGCCAGTGAGTGTAAGCGTGTTCTTGCTATCTGTGGTCCTGGAAACAATGGTGGAGATGGTCTTGTAGCTGCTCGTCATCTGTTTCACTTTGGATACAAACCATCTATTTGTTATCCAAAGCAGACTCCGAAGCCTCTTTATGCTGGTTTGGTTACTCAGGTTGAGATGCTCAACCATAATTGTAATATTTCCCGGCTCAACAACTAGTTTGGCTGAATTTCTAATTTGATTTAGCAATTTTGTAGCTGGAATCACTGTCAGTCCCATTCATATCAGTGGAGGACTTGCCTTCGGATTTATCAAAAGATTTTGACATTATAATCGATGCAATTTTTGGGTTCTCCTTCCATGGTAATATCTTCCTGCTTTAGTATTTTATGTCCTCCTGCTCTAAGTTCTCAAGATATTATTTCAAAGAAGCAAATCTTCAACATCACCATCAATTAGTCATTTTTTAAAGATGACCCTCAATTTGTACCATGGGATAGGAGATGTATTAATGGATTAGTACCTTGGAACTAACAGAAAAGACAAAGGACTATTAGGGAAGCAACCTTAAATGTTCTACCAATATCTCTGGCCTCTAAGGGCATATTATGTAAGATTATTATCTAGTAATTCTAAATAGCCCTAGCCATATAAATAATGGACCTACACATTATTTTATTTCATATCTTCCCTGATAGGATCACATTTTTTACTTACCGTGCCAATAGTTTCATTGGGTTTCATCAGTTGTTCAATTTTGCATATTTGTGACAAGTCTTATATTCTGTTTATCGTCTTTTTCTAAATTTGTAGCCCGAAGGCATTATTATATGGACACATTTCCCCTGTTCTTTTTATCCATAATAAACATGTCAATTTAATTTATTGCATTCCTAGAAGCATTTAGGTGATAATCCAGGCTTCATATTCGAACTCATCTACTTCACTGTAGCATGAAGTATATGGATTCTAGTAATGGATGAAGCTATTCTATACCCTCATTTTTGTATAAAGAGATTTTTATGGACGCTGAGTTTTGGCTATGTTATCTTATATAATACATGGTTTGAAAGGAATGCGAGTGTCTCTTGTCAGAAAAAAAAAGGAAGGAATATGAATTTTTCTTTTGGGGTTTAGAGGGGTCTTATCTCTTAGGGAAGGTTTGAAGTTCGACACATTCTTCACCTTTGTAATTTCTTGGAGGCTCTTTGAGTTGCCTTTGCCCATGTTGTAGTATGGCCTGATTTTTGTTCTTTCACTTATTAAAATGATAATGATCATGATTTTTGTTAAATGACATTGATCATTAAAAAAGAAAAAGAGAAAAGATATTAGACCAATACCTCATTTTAGTTCCTCTACTAAACCATTCATCATATTGATAGTCTTTTGTTATTCATTTAATTTTCAGGTGCTCCAAGGCCACCATTCAATGATTTGATCCAAAGGCTCGTGTCTCTAAACGAGTATAAGGAAGCAGATCAAAGATTTCCAGTTATTGTTTCTGTAGATATTCCATCTGGATGGCATGTTGAAGAAGGGGATATTAGCAATAGCAACTTTAAACCTGATATGTTGGTATGTTATTGTTTTAATTTACTTTACCACCCTAGAGTTTTTTGATGGCATAAATTTGTTTAAAAATCATCCTGAACAAATTTTATATAAATTAACCAACTTAATAGTCAAACAATGATTTATGCTAGGTTTCTCTGACTGCCCCAAAGCTGGGCGCAAAGAAATTCCATGGTTCACATCATTTTTTAGGTGGCAGATTTGTGCCTCCATCTATTGTGAGCAAATATAACCTTCATCTTCCTCCGTATCCTGGCACTGCGATGTGCGTTCGAATAGGAAAGCCTCCACAAGTTGATATAGCTGCACTTAGAGAAAACTATATTTCTCCAGAATTTCTTGAAGAAAATGTAGAGACAAATCCTATTCATCAGGTGAATACTAGATTCTTGTCAATTAGTAAAGATTCTCTTTTCTTCGGTTTTTGGTTATGTTGAGCTATTGTTACATATATCCTCTATCATAAAATTAAAACTTTTTTTTTTATTCCAAAGAAGTCCTTTGTTAACTTTGATGTTTCTTGCTGAACCCGTAGTTATCTTGCAGTTCCGCAAATGGTTTGATGAAGCAGTCACTGCTAATTTAAGGGAACCTAATGCAATGTCATTGTCCACTGCTACAAGTGATGGAAAACCGTAAGCTCAGTTTCTCTTTCTTCGGTGCTGTACTGATTGAAGATCTTCTCTCTCTATCTCTTCTTCTTCTTCTTCTTCTTCAAATTTTCTTTCTTGTACTTTAGACTGACTTGATGAGCCACTCTATGCTCTAATAGTGAATAACTCAAGGGTCATGGGTTTGAGCCTTTAGGTGGATTTTTAAAATTATTTTTTTCTCCCTACTCTGAACTGAGGCATGCAAAGTCTCCCTATAGAGTAGTAGAGGAAGGTCCACTGGAAAAAAGAATGTCTTATGGAGCCTTCTTCCTCAAGGTCACTGAGTGAGTCACAACTTTTGTGCTTGGGTGAGGAGGGTATGCAAGGAAAGGGGCAGATGGGGTTCCCCGTGAGAAATCTTTCCATAACTCAAATGGTTAGGACAAGCTTCTGGATAAGGAATAGATTAGGAGAGGGGGCAACAGTCGGTAATGCCTAAATGTTGATGTTCTCATCCGTAGTTGTTGGTTTTTCAGTTCCAATATAAGCCTAGTTATTATTTGTCAAACATACTAGTCCATCCTTTCCTTTTTCTCTTAGCATTCCTCAATGTTTATTCCTTTTTAGAATCTTAGAAAACCTTTGTTATCATCCTTCTTCTGATGCTTTTGTGAATTCTCTAATTCTGAATGCTTTTGACCTTACCTATTTGGTGTATTCATGAAATAACAGGATCCCCTGTAAATTCTCCATTAACCTATTCATAGTTAGTCTTTAGGTCCATCTGAATCTAAAATTATTAGTCTTCATGAAAAGTCTCCTGTTCCATACCAAAAATAAAGGAAGCAAGAAAGAAATATTATTTATAGAAGTGATTGACCTTTCTGGTTCACATTGCCACTTTTACCTTTGCTTCAGATCATCTCGCATGGTTTTGCTAAAAGGAGTTGATGAAGATGGTTTTGTCTGGTTAGTGTGCTAGATTACTATCATGCTACAGCAGACAATTTCGTCCCTGTGCCTTAAATAACTCTTCTCTTCTTGTGGCATCATTATCTGCAGGTACACAAATTATGAAAGTCGGAAAGCACATGATTTAGCTGAAAATGCCCGTGCTTCGCTTCTTTTCTACTGGGAAGGTCTTAATAGACAGGTGAAATAACAACTTTCAGTTTCAGTTTATCTTTATAATTATTATGAGGTGAAAATTTCATTAGGGAGGCTATTTTTCTGCCTGTTAAATTTCTCGAGCAATGTACAAGTCTATCTACTTGATTAAATCCAGTTAATCAGCCTCATATTCTTGAGACCTAGTGGTCAATCATAGGTTCTGCTTGCTTCTGCCTCACAGTTCTGGTAAGCAGCTAAGTGGTGGTTTGCTCTTATTATGGAATATATTGTTAAGTCATGCTTTCTACTTCCATCTGGTAGAATTTGTTATTATTTTAATAAGAAAACTGGTGTTCATAACCATAAGATGAATGAAGGAACAATAGAACGCCACAAAAAGAATGGCTTGGCCATGTATCTATAGTATAGGTTTTTTTTTTGGCTCCTTTCGTGCTGAGCTATTCTTTTGTTAGTTCACTTGTACCTTTTGTTGTCTCTTTAGTGAAAGCCTAATTTTTCATTAAAAAAGAAAAGAAAAGTCAAGCCTACATAGTCTGAACAAGAAGAAAAAAAAGGGATGAAGTATTACAAAAGGTGCCTCTATTGGTGGTAATAAAAATTACGGATAACTACAAATAAGTCTAAAAGTATGAGACAAAAGAGGCATTATAGTGGGTGAAGTCTGAAACATCCACCAAAGAACCCTCAATGCTTGTAAAGATCATCCTATTTCTTTCCAATCATATATTCCACTAAATTACAAATAAACTTGCTTGCACTAACGCCCTCTCTCTTGAGAAAGGAGGATGTATGAATATGATAATTTCTTCCATCATTTTAAAAGAATGAAAAGTTGAAGTTTTTCTTCCTGCTTTTGTAATTCATTGGTTCAATGAAATTAGTTTCTTAAAAAAAAAAAATACAATGAAGAAATGGAGCTTGGAAATTCTAGAAGTCTGCTAGAATCAGCACCACTACCTCAGTAGAGAAAGAGCACCTTGATTACAGATGACTTTAAGTCTTGACTCACCGCCTTCTTACAAAGAGCACACCATTTCAGGTTAAGCAGGAGAAAAAATTTTTATGGATGATATCACTAGTGTTAATCCTTCCAAATGCAACAAGCCAAGAGGAAAACTTTAGTTTATGGAATTTGACCTTCCAAGGCTTAGTTAAAAACAAGTGGGATGAGATGAGACAAAGAGAAGCAGAACCAGTCGAGTAGACAGATTTGCTAGAGAAAAGGACCGAGGGATCAATAGTCCATATGTAATGGTCATTGGACTTTAGACATAGACTATTGGCTAACGGGTAACTACAGCACCAACCCCTCTGTTAAAAAAGGCTCTTCGAAAATGAAAATCACAAAGATTGTCATAACTTGTCCACTGATCTTCACGAAATCTGATTCCACTTTCATTCCAGATATAGGAAATAATAAAGCTAAGGAAGCGAGAGAGATATTAAGGGTTCTTAAAATTGCCTTTAGACTCCTTCGCCAGAACCCTAATCATTGGGGTGGGCCTCGTGCTTGCTCACTACTATTTTTCATGCCATTGGGCATGTATGTTAAGTTCAAAACTTGTAACATTTTCATTTGTTACCAATTCCTACTACTATTTTTCATGCCATTGGGCATTTAAGTAAGTTTAAAACTTGTAACATTTTCCTCTGTTACCAATTCCTTCTACATTATAATCCCTGTACGTTGAGTTCAGCCTAGAGCAATCAGCTTTAGAAAAATTAAGCTTTTCATGATCTTTGTCATTTCAGATGGTCTGTCAAGAACAGGAAGAAACATTGCATTTGTGGCCATTGGTAGTGTAAAATTGTAAATGCGTATTTAATAAAGCCTCGGATACATCAACTTGCATGCTAAAACTCTTATGGTTTCAAATGTATCTTTGAATTTGTCTTGAAATTAATGCATTTTATGCGAAGAAGTAACTTTGATTATCTTGCACTCTTTCTTATTGAAGAAAATCTTCTTCGATTATCTTGCTCTCTTTCTTATTGAAGAAAATGTTCTTACACTCGTCATTAGCTTTTAGCAGTTCCCATACTCCATAATGTTCATCTTGGATGCTTTCAAGGCTACTGTGGCAAATGCCAGCTGGTTGCCTTCATCTAGATTTTACATGAAGGCAATGTAAATTAATTTACTTACTTTATAAGATAGTGTCCGATTGTAACTTTCTAGGTAAGAGTGGAAGGATCTGTGCAGAAAGTTTCAGAAGAGGAATCTGAGCAGTATTTCCACAGTCGTCCTCGTGGGAGTCAGCTTGGTGCAATAGCTAGCCCTCAGGTCTGTATCAATGTATTCCTTATTTTGTAGATAATCAAAATGATGATATTGCTAGATTTATGATGTTGCTTTCTCATTCAGAGTTCTGTTGTTGCTGGTAGACATGTTCTCATCGAAAGATACAAAGAATTAGAGGACAGATTCTCGAATGGGTATGTTAACTTTTAAACGTCTTGTTCCCGATAATGGTCAAGTGGTTGATTTATCTTGAGGACTAACGAAGATGATATCTGATTCAGTGAACATACATATTTTTTTCAATACAAATATTTTTTTAATAATTCCGTTTAAGGAAGATGTTACAATTAAAATCATGTCCTGTTTGCAGAAGTTTTATTCCAAAACCAAAACACTGGGGAGGATACAGGCTTAAACCAGAGCTTTTTGAGTTTTGGCAGGGGCAGCAATCTCGGTTGCATGACAGGTTATTTTCACCCCTCTAAGGACAGGTGCTTTACTAATTCTCCAGTTGTGGTGCACGTCATTGGCCAGTAGCTACGTAGCAGCTGCAAGATTTCTGTAAATTTTTGGGTCAAGTGGGGTAAACCGTTTCTGAGTTTATGGATTAAGTTAGTACTTTGATTGGCTAACGGTCAGAACTCAGAACATTTCACTGGGTATTTGGAAATATTATAATACTATTTATTGCTTTCCACAATGTCTTTAGAAACCGATTCAGGCGATTTGAAAGAGAATTTTCAGGGCATGAACTCACTCCAAAGAACTTGAGAGATTTTTAAAATG